TGTTTTCGTATGATCCCTGCACAATTATTAAATTCATGTACGTACATGTGTACCTGTGTGAGTCTATGTACATGATGCCCAAGGAAGTCAGAGGGCATCGGATCCCCCTGTAGCTGGAGTGAGAAGCTGTGAACCACCTGTTAGAGGTGTGGCATCCAAACCCAGAGCCTCTGCAAGAGCAGCAAGCACTCTAACTGCTGAGCCTTCTCTCCAGTCCCATTTGAGAGAATATTTTAAATGGATCTTTTACATTAAGTTTGAATGATATTGGTGGAAAACAAGAAGGAAAATAATTTACTGTTATTATTATTATTATTGAGACAGGGTTTCTCAGTAGCTATGGAGCCTGTCCTGGAACTCGCTCTGTAGACCAGGCTGGTCTTGCACTCACAGAGATCCAACTGCCTCTGTCTCTCAAGTGCTGGGATTAAAGGCGTGTGCCACCACCACCTGGCTCCAGTATTATTTTTTAATCATGTTTTTGAATGTCTGTGTGTGCCTGCATGAGTTCATGTACATTACATGCATGCAGACATCAGAAGAGGCAGGGAACGCTGGGTCCCCTGAAGCTGGAGTCACGAGTGATTGTGAACCACCTGATGTAGGTGCTGGGAACTGAACCTCGGTCCTCTGCAAGATCAACAAGTGCTCTTTGCATAGGGTCATTTCTCCAGTCCCAGAAGGCAAATTGTTTTAATCTATTCCTTTGATACCTTTTAACTAACCCCATTTTCTGAGTTCTAATAGTGTTTCAACATCCAATGGAGTCCTTTGAGTGGATAATCTCTAGGGTAAGGAGGAACCAGCATTGCTGTTTACGAAGATGTGACCTGCCATCTGTCTCTGGAAACTATTTTCATTGCACACTGTGGTACCGAGTCATTAATGATATTCTGTGCAGTTTTGGGTCATTCACATACTGCCTTGAACTGAATGCTACTTCTGTGAATGAATCCACTGAAATTGATTTATCATTCCCTTGTCAGGGTGGAGCTCTGTCTAACAGTATCAGGGCCATTCTGATGCCCCACCTCTTTCCGAGGTCTTGAGTCTGGCCTGAAGCTGGTTTGTTTATTTTTATTTATTTATTGGTTTATTTGTTTGTTCCTGTTTGTCCAAACAGCTTCATTTTGTAATCCAGATTAGCTAGAACTCACTATAGCCTACCCAAGCCTCGAATTCGTGGCTGTCCTGCCTCAGCTGGGGAGTGCAGGGGTCACCCGAGTCACCGTGCCCCATAGGCTAGGTCATCTTGCCTGACAAAGGAGTTAAAAGTAAAATAACATCTCACAGTGGTCTTCGTTTGCATTTCCCTCCTTGTCCTTAAATGTTTGCTGGACAATGTATGTGTTTCCTCCCCCTCACTCCCACAGGGTTTCTATGTGTAGCCCTGTCTTGGAACTGTAGACCAGGCTGGCCTCGAACAGAGATACAGATGTCTCTGCCTCTTGAGTGCTGGGATTAAACGTGGGCTGTGTTTCTGCTTTTGTAGCTGTCTCTCTGTTGGATTCTGGGTTTTTTTCTGACTGTGTGCAGGGGTGCTGTATGGATTTCTGGGGCGTGTGCTCCCTGCAGGCACACAGCACACATCGCTAGTCTGTGGTTCTCTGTTCACTTTCTCTCAGGTGTCTCCACCTTTCTCCTCCCACCACTGGGCAGAGACGTTGCTGGGCGGGAATGTGTGTGCGTGAGTGTGTGCGTGTGAGTGTGTGTGTGTGTGTAGGGGAGAGCTGTGCCCGTCAGAATCCCTATTACTCTGACGACCCTTCCCGCTCCCTTGTCCCCCAGGACTTTGGAGGACCCTCCCATTGGGGGGTGAAGGCAGTCTGGTTTGGGGAGCCCCGTGGGCTTGGGTCGGGCAGGATGGCAGGGAGGGTCCCCACTAGGGGGTGATCACTTCCGCCGCCCAGCTGGGGGACGGCGCTCTCCGCTCCGCTGGGCAGCAGCGCAGCGGCTCCGACTCCCCAGGGCCCTGGGGTCGGGCGTTTCGAGGGGGGGCGGGGCGCGGGGTGGGCGGAAGCTGCCGGCGCAGATAAGGCCGGGGTCGGTCCTGCGGCGAGACCGTGCGGGGACGCATCTGGTCCCACCCCCGCAGCCTTTACCACCCGGGGTGGAGCCTCGGTGGAGTGAAGTAGACCCCACCGGTCCCAGAGCCGGACCCACCCAAGGGAGCAGTGGGGGATGGGGCCTATCCTGCTCCCTCCCTTCTGGATAAATAGCAAGTGACAGCAAGGCTGCCCCACCTCGGCTGTCTCAGCGGGAAAGCGCAGAAATAGGAGCTCACTTCCCCCACAGCACTGTGGGATGGAAGAGGCTGACTTGGACGCTCTCTGAGGGTTTCCTTAATTTGGGGGCCTGATGTACCCCGAAGCCTTTGCTGACCTTGCCACACCTTCCTGACTGTCAGGCTTCATTGGTCCCCAATGTATGGAGGGGAAAGAGGTTTACCAAACTCAAAGCAAACAGATTCTAGGCTTTGTGGAACCTCAAGTTTTTACAGTTCTGGGTGAAGTGTGAGGAAGATTCCAAAGCCATAAACACAGAACGCAGACTCCCTTGCCAGGGCTAAAGAGGTACAAACTAGAAAAGACGGTCAAGTCCAGTTTCCTTAGGCTGTACCTCCCTGAAATGCCTAGCGGGGCTTACATGCCTCTTTGCAGAGACCACCGACACAGGCAACTGGGCAGGGAGGCCAGGGAGGCAGGGAGGAGAACACTCGAGGGACACTGCTGTTGCTGCCCCAAATCCTTTTTAAGACCAGACAGTGGTCCCTAAGCCTAATGAAGATCAAGAGCAGCAGAGTTTGAGGATGGGCAGACACACCTTCAAACTTCATCCTGTCACTTAGGGTTCTCAGCCCTGAGGGCAGGTGATAGCAAGTCCAAGGAGAGAAGAAAGGCCCTTTGGGGTTCCTCTGTTAAATGCAACCAAACTGGAGTTGTACAAGGGCTTCACCGCCCAGGCAGGCTGTGGGACGAAGGGGAGGAGCTTCCCCTGTCTCTCAGGCCTGCTGGGAGCTGTTCTGAAGCTGTGGAGGAACGAGGCTGTTTTTGGATGCCAGTGAAGTCAGATTCGACATGTCCAGGCCAGATTAGGCACGTTCCTCCTTTGTCTCCCAACTGTAGGGTCAAGTTACTTCCTCAGGGACTGCTCTTACTCACAAAAATGAGGCTAGATGTGGTGTCTCAGTCCTTTAATCCCAGGGCTCAGCAGATCTAACTTTGAGGCCAATCTGGTCTACAATTTGAATTAAAGGCCAGCCAGGGCCACATAGACAGACCCCATCTCAAAAACAGACGGAAGCTCTTGCCGAGAACCTGAATTCTAGAAGCTCCAGTACCACATGGCAGTTTACAACAGAATGTAACAACAGTTCCAGGGGTCCACGGATGCGGTACATGTGGTGTACAAACATACGTGCAGGCAAAACATCCAAACCCATAAAACAACACCAACTTACAACAAAAACAACACTTACAAATGGGGTCCAGGTGATGGGACTACACCTTCTTCAGCCTGTTACCCTATAGGGTAGCAGTTCCCAGCCTGTGGGTCAGATGACCTTTCACAGGGGTCGCACTGACCATCTGGGGAAAACATAGCTATTTACATTACAATTCATGGCAGTCACAACATTACACCTCTGAGGTAGCGATGAAACCAGTTATGGTTGGGGTCACCTCAGCGTGAGGAGCTGCACTGAGGGCCGCAGCACCACGAAGGTTTGGACTCTGGTCTAGAGCCCCACACTACTGTTCCTCTGCTGCAAGTCCACAGAGGTAGAAGGGGCCTCTGAATCGAGGGGGCTGCTCCACGTCTCCTCACCAGGCTGGCCTCTAACTCAGAGATCCACCCGCCTCTGTCTCCTGAGTGCTAAAATTAAAGGTGTCCACCAGCCATGCCTGGCCTCATATTCTGTTTTTCTTAAGTTATCATTACATTAAGAGCCTGTGTGTGTGTGCGCGGGGTGTGTGTGCTTGCACAAGAACATACCATGATGAACATGTGGTAATCAAAGGACAACTTACAGGCATCTGCTCCCTCATTTCACCATGGGAGTCCTGGGGACTGACCTCAGGTTGTCAGGATTGGTGGCAGGCACCTTTACCAAATAAACCATCTTGCTGTCCCTGTTTGTTTGTTTTTACTAAAGAGTCTCACGCACCCCAAGCTGGTCTGAAACTTGCTGTTTACTTTAAGATGACCTTGAGTTTCTGATTTTCCGTCTCCACCTCCCAATTGCTGGGATTTTCGATTTTGTGGTCTCTGTTCTTGCAGACACCTGAGGGAGTTTCTCTGACTCTAGCATCTTCCAGGCAGGATCAGGAGAAACAGCACCAAATAGCACCAAAGCAGACCCAGGAAGGGATGGCCGCTGGCCCGGCAGTGGTGGGGTTCTAAACAAAACAAGCTGTCCATCTACTGTTTACATAGAATTTATCCTGGGCTGGTGGGCTCAAGGACTCAGCTAGCTCCCTTTCGCAGCTTAGGTCACTCCTCTGCTCTGGGCCTCAGTTTTCTCACCTTTAAAATGGAGCTAATTCCACAACTGCAAGTACTAAAGATGTTAATGAGCAAGTGGACTGGCACAGGTCATCTAAACAGACGTGGTGGGCAAGAAGTGCAGCAGAAATGGAGAGTCCTCCACAGCAGACGCTAAGGCCTCCAAGGCCTCTCTTCCCCAGGGGGAGCCCCTTGGTTGAGGGCTGAGAAGCCCCGTTATGGCATTCTCCCAGACCAGGAAAGGTCAAAGCAAGGCCAGGGGCCCTGGGGTGCTCAGAGAAGAATGGGGAGTCAAGGTTCTCACCTAAGTCAGTCAGGTGTTGGGGAGGAAGTGGGGATTTCGGGAGGAGGCAGGAAGGAGACTGTGGTACAGTACTGGCCGCAGGATCACCAGAGGCCCCATTCCAAACCTTGTTTGCAAGGCTTGCAGCTTAAAAGCAGGCATTCCTCCTTTTTCAGGTTCAGGATCTGTGGCTCAGGGAGGTGAATTCACTTACCAAGGTTCACACACGGCACATGCCCCAGGGTCTGTTGCCTGACAAGGCTGCCAGTGAACTGGTGTGATCTTGTTTCAGTGTATCCCCCAGACACGCCAGGATGGCATCACTGTGACGCCGGGGCTCATGGTGGGAGCGGAGAACTGGAGAAAGCAAGAGTTCACCACATCATAAGGTCGTCAGCAGAGGCATCTGCATCCCCCCCTTCACCTATACCCCAACAGCGGAGGTGGAGCAGAAGGAAGGACTCCTGATCGTGGAGACCCCAAAACTAGAAAAAAAATATGAAATTTTTCATCTTACAAGGCCATACAAGTTTTTATCCTTTTAGTTTTTGTTTTTGAGGCAGGGTTTCTCTTTGTATCTCTGACTGTCCTGGAACTCCCTCTGCAGACCAGGCTGCCCTTGAACTCAGGGATTCAGCTACCTCTGCCTCCCGAGTGCTGGGATTAAAGGTATGTGCCACCACTGCCTGTCTTCATTCTTATTAACATGGAAGGGGCACCTCTTTTATAAAGAACACCCTTTGAGTCTTTTCCCTAAGTGGGCAATTCAGGGAGACACACCATGGTTCCATCCAACGACAACTGGGGGTTGGGAAAAGAGCAAGGACAAGGCAAAGGCCTGGCCTGTTGCCACGGTGCAGGGCCATCTCTGCCTCTACTCCCTGCTTCAGCCATCTTCTCTCACAGACACATGTCCATTCTGCCTCAGGGATCTTGTTCACAGTTCTCAGAGGCTCCCCTCTCTCTCTGTGCCCTGAGGCTGCTGTTCTGACATCATCCTCATGCCCTTTTGCTATGCACTCTGACATCCACTCTCCAGGACTGGCACACAGACTGGGGCTTTCTGTGCCTCTTAGGAAGCAATCAGGACCTGAGTTTCCTGAGTTTCTCTGGGTGCTTAGTCCCAGAGAGCAGTGAGGAGGGTTGGTGGGTAGATAGATACCTGGAAGGAGGCTCTGGGCAGGTGAGGAGCTAGACTGCAGCAGAGATCTGGGTGCTGGCTGGAGAAGGCAGAAGGAAGGAGGGAAGGTTACAGGGTGCCCCGTGCTGCTGCCTGGCAGGTCCCTGTGCCCAGGCTAGGGAAGTTTGTTATTTCTCCGGCTCTGACTTCCCCCTTTGATTTATTATAGCCATGAAATGCTCTGCTCTCTTCTCTTTTCCTTGCTGTCCCCCGGGGTTGGAGGAACACAGGCCTCCACAGACCCTGGGCCTCAGCCTTACTGGACTACCATCTCTTTCCAAGGGCAGGGCATGGGGACCAGGAGTGAGAGGTGAGTCGGGCAGACAGGGTAGGATGGGAGGGGCCCTGATCTTCCAAAGGCAGGCTACCCCAAGGTGGGCAAAGTACTGTCTGGGCAGAGGGTAAAGCAGGTGTGGATTCCACCGCAACAGGCTTCCTGGGGTGGTAGAGATGGCAGGTTCAGGGGCTAAAGGTCTCGGTTAGGATCTGAAGGCCAGGTGTCTCCAAGTGGTAAATACCGTATTGGAGATATGGCTTTTCTGTGACCCCTGACCCCATATTCTGACTTAAGGGCAGCCACAGAAGGCCTGGCTCAGTCCAGTTTGTGTACTGGGTCAAGAACCTTGAAGAAAAATGACCTGAGATCTGAGGGCCCAGAAAATCCTAGGCTCCCTTAGTTCACAGTAGGACCTGTTCTTGCAAGCCAGGGTCTGTCTGCTCCTCCGCGGGCCTGGTGGCAGGAGCGTTTCTCCCAGCCCCTGTGTGGTGCCTGTGGTAATAGGGCTGTTGGCGTTTTGCAATGGGCAGGGGGTGGGGAGGCAGCGCACACATGCTTCCTGTGGTGACCGGGCGCTTCCTGTTTTCTCAGGCACCGGCCTTGCTGCTGCCGATGTGGAAATAGGGGCAGCTGCAGCCAGGGCGGCTCCAGGCTGGGCACACTGACCCTGCCCAGAAGGACTGAGGGACCTAGCATCCTCAAACTAAAGATCTGGGCAGTGGGTGGCCATGCCTACACTGACGCCTAGTCTTGGCTTACCAACAACACCTGTCAAAAGGGGGAAAGTCAGGCATAGTATGACTCTGGTCAGCAGCTGGAGTGACAGAGCCAGGCTGGCAGTGAGGGCACATGGTTCTTCTGACTTACTCTCTCTAAATGCCACTTCAAGTCTCCTCCATGATTCAGCCCTTGGTTTCTCGTTTTGTGGAGTGTCATGGCAGCCATGATGTATAATTCCTAGCCCACATAGGCCCTAGTTCTAACATCCACTGAGCTTCTCATCCCAAGAGCCACAACTTTGGGGACAGCACTGAAGCTGAGCCCCCCAGAGGTGGGACTTGGCATAGACCTTGGCAGAAAGGGAAATCACAGAGACAGGAAGAGGGTAAGCCACCTGGTGGGACCCACCAGGACCAAGTTTGACAGTCCCGGTGTTAATGGAACAGAGGGACAATAGTTGATCAGAAGGACACTGGGAAAGGGTTTGACACCCTAACACCCTTCCTTAGAAGGTTGGCGGTCATTTGCAGGGTCCCCACCTCCCAAGGAGATGGAGGCCCACATGAAGTGACCCAGGAGCCTTGGAGGAGACCCAATCCTATCCCTTGCACTCAGCCTGTTTGCCAGAGTGAGATGGGTGTTGCCATTACGGGCATGCCTTGAGGTTGACATCGCCTCTTCCCGAAGCTGTTTGCTTTGCTCATGAGCTGGTATTTCGAGAACAGAAGGGGATGACTCTGCTTTGTGTGGCCTTGCAGAGAACAAGAAGGCTTCCAGAAGGCTGAGCCCCAAGCACCTGGACCCTGACGAGTTTGTGGACTAAGTTAGGTAGACCTCATTGGTCTAGGATGTTTTGAGATGTGTACTCCACAGGAAGTTCCCTTCTAATCCCAAGATTTGCCAATCACAAGAGACCAGTCTCAGCTGAAGGAACTTTGGAGTCCCCTGACCCTGAGGCTCAGGCTAAGTGGCCGTCGGACCAGCCTGGCCTTCACAGTTCCATGCTCTGGGTCTGGGTGCTGAGTTGGCGACATAGCAGCTGCCCTGGCCACGGAGGCTCAGTTATAAATAAGCGCCATCTGGCCAGGTCATCAAGTTCTGCAGCTCCTCCAGTCCAGCTGCGTTACCTCAGTGACCACAGGTCTGACTGCCCAGAGCTGGGCCCACCAGAACCCACCTCCTCAGACCAAAGACTGCCTGCGATCCTCGAACCTCAGGCTTTAAGCATCTGCAAGGCCCCTCAGACCCAAGCCTCACTGGACACAGGTTATAGACGGACAGGGCCCATTCCTCCAGCACAGAGCTATTTACAAACCGAAACCAGGAGAAGTGAAGTGGCTGTGGCCAAAGTGGCTCCAGGCCCCCAGCCCCCACTCCCACTCCGTCCCCACTGGCCCAGCCCCCTCTCTCCGTGGCTTCCTCTTTCCTTCCCGCACAGCCTCCCAACCTCCCACTGCCTGGTCAGCTCTAGACTCTCTGCAAGCACCTCACAGTGACCTCTGACCCCCACAGTACTTTCCTGGGGGTCCCCATCTTTCCATCCCAGGACCCCAACAAGCGACGCTCTTGGAGCTGTCCCCTCCCAGCAGTGCCAGCCCACCCTGGCCTGCACAAACACATTCCCACAGTTCTCAGTTCCCTTTCATGCTTGGAAAAGGTCCAACCTCAATGGCCGCCATCGAGCTTCAGGCCTCCGCCCAAGGGTGTCTTCTCTGGCCATTCTTAACCTTCACAGTGGATATGTGGGGTCAAGAGATTTAACCAACTTGGGTGGTACTGGAGTCCCTGGGGCCCTCATAACACGCTTCTTGGCAGGAAGCCTGGCCATCATTCTATAAAGTTGAATTTCAGGCCAAGCTTGTGAGGGTCCAGACTTGAGCTGAGCCCAGCACTGCTCAGGAACTAGTAGGCAGGTTGGTACTTCAGAAGGCTCAAAAGACAAATAACTGGCAACACAAAACCATTACTTGGAGGCTGAGAGTGTAGCTCAGTAGGCACAAAGCCCTGAGCTTGGTCCCCAGCACCATAGAAACAATTGTGGTGGCACACACTTGTGATGCCGGCACTCAGAAAGTACAAGAGGATTAGAAGTTCAAAGTTATCCTTTGATAAATACCAAGGTCAAGGCTAGCCTGGATGATATGAAACCCTCTCTCAAATCAAATAATAAGAAAACCCTTACTGAGGGAAGACAGCCTCGGGTACAGGGGCGCACAGGGACGCACGGGGCACACAGTCCACGGTCATCCATCTCTCGCCAAAACAAAACAGTCTCATCATAAAGTGGAAACAGAGGCTCCGAGAGGCAGCCGTGCACCCAAGGGCAAACTCTTAAGTGTCAGGCTAGCTGGGCGGTGGTGGTGCATGCCTTTAATCCCAGCACTCAGGAGGCAGAGGCAGGTGGAACTCTGTGAGTTCGAGGCCAGCCTGATCTACAGAATGAGTTCCAGGACAGGCTCCAAAGCTACAGAGAAACCCTGTCTTGGAAGAAAAAAAAAGTGTCAGGCTAGAGGTTCATGCCCTATCTCTCCTCTGCCTGGCCCCCTTCGCTCCCCAGTTTTTCTCTTGGCGGGACAGACATATCCCAGCTGTGACAAGGACAGAAGCAGCAGAGATGACCTGGGAGGAAGCAAGCCTTAGACCATGGAGCCACTCCCCTCCCCTAGCTACAGTACTCCTGCCCAGGAGCCCTGGCCTTCTCTGCCTGCTCAGTCCTCTCTTACCATGTCCTGGCTGAGGGAAGGCACTAGCCTGAACTTGGTTCATCCACAGTCAGCTGAGTCTTACCTAGCTTCTCTGAGACTTAGAGTCCAGTTCTCTGAATCCTCACAAACATTAGTCATGCTAGCCCTGTGCCAGGTGCCCAGTATTTCTGTAGCTGGGACTCATTTTCTGGCCCTGGAAACCTGTGATTTAATGGGGAAGGCAAATGAGCTACAAAATCCCAAGCGTTCCAAGAGAAGGCTGTGGGGGATGAGAGGAGCAATGATGTTGCCCGGGATGGGAGAAGGGGTACCGGAGAGGTGCCTCTTGGGATGGCCCATGTCTGAAAGGAAAGCAATGCAGATGGGTATCCACGCTGAGTCACACCCCATGCCTCAGCTCCAGGGTTCCCATAGCCTGGGTGCCTTTCTTTGCTCTTCACTTTGCTGAATTCCTACCCACCTACCAAGGCCCTCCGACAAAACCTTAGCAAAACCTGGCAGGCCTCACCTCCCTCCTACTCAGAGCCTGAACAGAGCCAGAGACCAAGTCTCCTTGTTCATAGTACCCTTGCCAGCCCCACCCGGGCAGGCGTCTGCTCCCAGGCTCCAGCCCCTTTTGTCCTCTGCTCCGAAAAGCACCGTTTCCCTTTTCTGGGTGACCACATGCCATGCACAGGGAATTTCCATTGCAGCCTGCGGAGTGTCTGATTCACTCAGGCCCCTAACAAAATTAACTCCTTCCAGGCCCAATGTACTGGGCTCTCTCCCCATAGCGCGGGAATTGAACTCAGAAACCTCACTTAGCACCCCTCATTCAACCCTGTCACAAAAACCTCAAACGTACAACCTCAGGGAACACACAACCTTCCCATCCAGCATGAGATCTGAGGGGAGGCAAACGTGGCCCCTTTCCACCTGTGCAGGAGGTAGGCCCATTGTTTATCTGGAAAGTAGAAGAAACCCCTGCCCATAGCCTCACTGAAAAGACAGTTGTGCTGGGCTCACAGCAGTGGCAGCTCTTTCTTAGTTTTCCTTCTTTTAAAAGAGCCCACTCATTCAGTCACTAGGTCCCTGCTTTTTCTTTTTCTGAGGGCAGACAGTTCGGAGACACTGCCTTTAGGGTGGTGGGGACTTGTCCCGCAGCAGAGATAGCCCATCTCCCAGGTCTCCGCCAGTTCTCTGACTGCTTTCCTCAGGATCTCTAAGGCTATGAACTAAGCAAGATGCTAAGTTCTGGAGATGGGACTAGGTCTTCTTTCCCAGACTGGGATGCCTGGTATGGCATGCCCCACACAGTGTGCCTACTCCTTCAGTTAGCCTTGAGAAATCCCCACCTCCATATCTAGAGGCCTCTCCTATGATTGCTCGCATCTGGGGATG